TGAGCTGGGCCTGCTCTGCAGCTCCGAGGAAATTCTCTGAGACCCCCTTGCCCAGAACTGTGTCCTCTCCAGTTTCCAGTGCTGGCTGAGGGCAGAGGCCCCTGCTGCCACCCTGACCCTCAGGACCCTTGCCCCCACTGCACTGTTCCAGTCGCCTGCAGGGAGTTAAACCCCAGGGCCACCCGGCCAAATATCACAACCCTGATGTCCACCAGCTGTGTACCCCAAGGGTCCAGAGCACAGATAGCTGGCACCTGGGGACACAGGGCAGGGTGGGGACAGAGGGAGGGCTGTGCCATGCACCTGATTGATCCCTGGTGCACAGAAAAGGGCAGACAGCCCCCGTGCCAGCTCCCGCAGGGTGGGCCATGGCATTCCTGGGGATGGGTGTCCCTTGCATCAGCAGAGCCCCAGGCAGAGATGGTGGTGGGGGCAGAGGCAGGAGGTGACCTCCCCTGTCAGGCCCTGGACGCAGTGCTGTCTGTGAGAGGCCGGGCCTCCCTCCTGCCTCCTGGTCCTGGGATGCCAGGTGAGGGCAGGCTGGTCCCATCCACTGTGCCTGGCCTTCCTCAAGGCTGAAGCAGCTTGCCTGCCTCAACCCTCACAGGCCAACCCATGGGCGCCCATGCAGCGCCAACTCGGCTCAGTAAACATGGCCTCCTGTGAGGAACAAAGCCAGTGCTTGGCCCAGGGGACAACTGGGATTCTGTGGGGCACTTCAATCAATCCTTGGGCCTGGCACCATCTGCCTCGTCCCGTGGGGTCAGGGAATAGAGGAGCCCTACTCAGGGTGGCACCTGCCCTTCGGGCCAGAACCTAGGGAGCCACAGGCTATGCCTGAGTACCCTCCTGAGAACTTCCCATCCACCCCAGCCCTGGTCACAAAGCCAGCAGGCACTGAGCATCCCCTTTGCCCCTGCGTGGACAGCATCATCCTGGCGTCTTAGCAGCTGGGACCATTTTCCCCCATTGTGACCTTGGCTGGACTGAATGTGGAGTGCTGAAAAGCATGGCCCCCTCTGGCACCCCAGCCACGGAGGCCATGCATGGGGACACCCCACTCTGCCCACTGCGGAGGGGCAGCCTCGCCGACTTCATCAATCTCCAGTCGGCCCCGTGTCAAAGTGCACACCATTTCTTGTAAAAATGATCCGGCTGCTAATTAGGCTGTTTATAACTTGTTTCCCCGGCCGCTAATGATAATTAACATGCAAATGAGCTCGGGGAGGGGAGGCTCTGGGGCCCCTGGTTCATTACCACGTTAATTACTGTTTGCATATAGAAGTATCACAGATATAAATGGCGGCATTTAGTGTAGCAGGCAAGATGATAATTATACCGATGGTATTTTGAAAAGTCATTTCACTGTGTTATTTTTCTGTATGATTAATGATTCCTGGCTGCCTGGTTGATAAACTTCGTTAGTTCAAACCAATATAGGCTGTGTATACAAACCGGCGGGCTGGCTCCCGGCACAGCGCCATCAATCTCCCTGTCCCCTGTTAGTACAAAGTTTCAGAGGAAGAAAAGGCAAAGGAGAAACTTGGGCAGTGCTGGGGTGAGCAAACTTCCGGAAGCACTTGGCTTTAAAGACAGCGGAAACCACTGTGCCCGGGGACAGCAGGCGGGCTCTGTTTAGGTGCGGAGCTGGGGTCTGCTGACCTCAGGGATCCAGCACGTCCCACAGTATAACAGAGATCTTGCTGTCTCTGCTCCTTTCCTCCTTCCCTCCTTCCATCCTTCCTTCCTCTGCTACCTGCTGTGCACCTGTCCCAGTGTCCCAAGGGGGGCCAATTGTGAAAGAACAGGGGGACAGGGAAGAACAAGGGGTCTCTTACAGACAGGAGAGGCAGCTGCAGTCTGTATAATGAGGAGGACTGAACGCAGGCTTCAGGGAAATGAGGAGGCAGAGAGATGGAGAGCTGTGCAAAGATCCTGGGGTTGGAACTGACCTGTGGGAGAACAGGGGAGGTCGGGCACCGCAGGTACCCAGCATGGCTGCACTCAGTGATGAGGTAACAGAAGAGGACAGGCAGATTGGCAGGTGGGAGTGGGATGGGCTGCGTGCACCATAGTAGGAAGCCTCCTTGCAGTCAGTGAGAGAGCCTGGATAGGAGTGAGCACAACTGTGCCCTCCTCACTCAGGCCCGGCCCCCATGGCCAGGTAGCCCAAGACCCAACAATCTGGATCCACGGCCTCAGCCTTAGAACTTGTCCCTGCTGAGCAAACCGGCCTGCCTCTGCCACATTCTCCTTACAACCCCAGCCCCCCACATCAGCAGAGGGGGCTGCCAAAACCACCCTGCCCAGACTGAAGCACAGGGTGGCAACAGGTGGTGGGTGAGCCGAGGCGCCTCCTGCTGCATTATTGATCAGGGGCGGGGAAGGAGCCAGGGGACAGGAGAGGCACAGGCTGGGAGCAGGGGGCCCCTCCCTCTCCCCTCCCCTCCCTCAGGACATGCTGGGAATGCTGGGGTCATGAGGACAGGACAGTCAGGCCAAGAGGAAGGGGCCTGGAGCACAGTGCTCCTTTATCTGCCGGATTCCTGCTCATGGGCTGCAGAGAGAGAAGAGGCTTAAATTTCACCTGGTGACAGCCAGGCCTGGGCCCAGGTCTTCCCATTTCCCCAACACCAGCCCAGGTAAACCTCCCGCTCAGGGCTGCCTGGGCAGAGGCCTGCAAGATCATGGGACAGGGTATCCTGAATGGGGGGTGGGGGACACAGCCCCACAGAGCAGCTGGGCAGGGCTTGGAGGTGGCCCTGGAGGGTGCAGGTGGGCCCCAACCCTGATGAGCAGGGAGGAGAACCCCGAGAGGCCCCAGGTTGCACCTGGAGGTCTTGGGTGCAGTCGTGGGCCCACCCCTCTCTAACAGGGTTGGTCTGGACTAAAGGTGGCAATTTGCCCTCCAAGTGAAGGTCTACAGCCAGGGTGGGGCAGCACCCCAGGTGCCAGGGGAATACAGGGAGACCACGTGCCACTGATGGGCAGCTCAGGACTGGTGCCATTGGCTCAGGGGCCCAGGGCTGGGGGTGGGCAGTACCTACCAGCCCCTCTGGGTTAGCAAGGAGGGGCAGCAGCTGGGGATGGCGAGGGAATGGGGTGGGTGCTGTTCCCAGGCTTCTGGTCCTCCGCAGCCACTCTAGGCCCAGAACTGCTTCCCACTTGCGGGGCCCTGCCCTGGGACTATAGCTTAGGCAGCTGAGGCCAGGGCAGGCTGGTAGCCACTGACCTCCCTTCCTGGATCACTTGTGCCCAGCCTTCTCTAATCCGAAGGCACTTAAGTCCCAGTGAGCCAGGCCCAGGCAGTGACTGCTGAGCCCACTGCCCAGCTGCCAGCACCCTCGAGGACAGGAGGTGGCCCTGGGCCCTCAGTCATCAGAGCCTTCCCTCCCTACACCTCCCCAGGTCCTGACTCCTCATGCTTGTTCCTCGCTCAGCACTTCTCCCAGGGCCAGGACAGGAACTGGACTCCTCAGGCATCCACAGGGCTCCAGCAGCCAGCAGGGCCAGGGGGGCGCACTGCAGCCTCAGGGTCTGTGGTGACAAGTGCCGTCAGGGGCCGCTTCCCACTCAGACTCCGTTCCAACGCAGTGGGGTGTTCGGGGCAGCATAGGTGAAGTCCTTCCGCTTAAGGCTCTGGGTGGCCATGGACTCCCCACTGCACCTGGCCTAGTCACAGCTTTGACAGGTACGGCAGTGCCGAAGGTGCCACGGTCATGGGCAGTGCAGGCCCTCTAAGGGACTAAGCCTACGCAAATCTGCCAGCCTGGGCCCTGACACTCCGAGGCCATGGGCTTTGGCCCTCACTCGGCCCCAACAGTGGCACCGGATGGCAGCTCAGGCCACCTACCAGGGATGTGCTGCCCTCCGATGAGGCTGTGCTCAGAGTCCTTGGGCTCCCTGCACCCGGGCACATGCAAGGGACAGATCAGGGCTAATGTGGCTGCAGTTGTCACCAGATCTGCCACCCCTGTGCCCCAGGCCCTTCCCAAGCCCCATGTGACAGGCTGCTCCATTACTATGCCTCATTAGAGTAAATGAAGGGAGAGAAATCAAATCACAGTAATAGGCACTCCATAAACCCAGCTCGCAGCTGCTGTGAATGTCAAGGAGCTAGAGTGACCCAATGGACTGGGGACCACATCTGCCCTGTGCCCCAGGCTCCAGCCTCCTCCACCTCCACAGCCCAGGGGCACAGTGCCATCAGGGGAGATGTGCTCCCATCCCCCAGTGGGCTCATATCACTCCCTGAGCCCCAGAAGAGCGGATGCCAGCGGCCTCTGGTTCCTCAGCACCTTGGGTGGGGAGGGAGCTCCAGGAGTAGGCCCTCTCTTCAGGACACGAGACTGGTCCCCCCAAAGTCCCCCTACGACAGCTGCCTGTGCCCAGCTGGATTCTCATAACCAGTCCCCCACCCTACCTGCTGCAGGGCTGGGAAGAAGATTCCTAGAATTGCTCAACCACAGTCCAGAGGTGTCCCCCTAGGAGTCAGTGGTGGGGCCAGAGAGGTCCAGGCCTACCTGTTCAGGGCAGAGAACTTCAAGGACTGGGATCTAGGGCCAAGTGGGGAGGGCACACAGGACCCCAAGGGGTGCATGGTCCTGGGGAAGAGGGGTTCAGGGTGGATAGTATAGGAGCCCCAAAGCAACCAAGGCAGAGTTCTGGGTACAAATACAGAGCTGGTAGGGTCAGCCCTGGAGCTGGCCACTTACCCCAGCACCCATAGGCACCACTCATAGGCACCCCCAAACTGGGGCTTCTCTGTCCTAGCCTGCCCCTGGCCTGGCACTGCAGGAGGCCTCCCTCCTGCTCCCCCACCTGGCTTCTGGAGAAACTGGGGGAGGGGTAGCCTCTGCCTGGGTGTCCTGCCACAGGGGGAGCTGGGGAGCAGCCAGGCTGAGAGGGTGTTGATGCTCTCCTGGGAAACAAGATCCACCCCCTGGGCCCAACTGCCTGGGCTGGGCATCTACAGGAGCCCAGCACTGCCCGGGCTGGCTGCGAAGGACTTACACAGGCAAGTGTGAGTGTGCTGAGAGAAGGGGTGTGCATTTGTGTGTCTTCCTGTGAAGAGGGAGGGTCCGGAGCACCCTCAAGCCAGCCTGGAGGCCAGGGAAGAGGGCCCTGAGAAGTCGGGCTGGTCCCCAGGACCCCACTCCAGAGCAGATCCCAGTGGTGCTGACCCTGCCCCACCAGTGACCCGAGCACCCCAGCCTGGCTGTAGCTCCAGTGTGAGCAGGGGGCAGAGACAGCCCTGATGGGGCCTGAAAGGCTGTGAGTATCACCTTATTGGGGGGCCCTGTGCTGCTGGGAGGATGGGGAGAGCCAGGTCACCCTGGCCAGGCCCCCACCCCTCAGGCCTTCTGGTCACCCTGGCTGGAGCCCCTGACCCCTCAGTCCACCCATCTCCTCCCCCTGGCCTCGGGGCCCAGATGTTCTGAGAGTGACCCTCGGGGAGCCTTGCATCCAGTCTGCACAGGAGGAAGCAGAGGTGGGGGCAGCAGGGTGGGGAACATCTGCAGGCCCTGGCAGACACCCTGCTTTGCATACAGGCAGCTGAGGAGGTACCTTCTGTCCACATGGTCCAGGTCACAGGTCACTCTGGCAGGGTCTCACTCGCCCTGCTCTCCGTGGGAGAAGCCGTGGTCAGGGGCTGAGCGCTAACCACTGCTTCCTCCTCCAGGTGACCATGAGGACCAGGCATGGACCAGCAGGCGCCACAGACATGATGTCGGCCCAGGAGCTTGTGGCCCGCCTCTGCCAGGAGGGGGACCAGCACCTGGCCCTTGGGGAGCCGCCCCTCGCCACAGCTTTCTACCTGGCCGCCTTCAGCTGCCATGCCCCCTCAGCCATAAGGAACGTACGGGCAGCACTGGCTGAGGCCCGGGGGGCTCCCGTGCTGGCCACCCTGGAGGCCTGGTGCCGTGGGGACAGCCAGATCCCAGCCATCCACTGGGACGGCATGGCAGTGGTCTCACTGACTGGGGCCCTGGCCTCTGCCTTCCTGGGAGCCCTGTGCCCCGACCACCCTGCTGCCATCCTGCATGTGCTGGCTGGCCTGCTGGCCCGCAGACAGCACAGGGAGGTGGAGAGGCGCTGCGATGCCCTGCTGGACGCCCATTCACAGCAGGCCCTGGAGCTGCAGCTGACCCGTGCCCTGGCCCGCGTCCTGTCTGGTGAGCAGGAGGGCAAGGGTGTGGCTGACTATCTGCAGGCCTACGCCTCAAGCTCCAGCCGCACGGTGGCCTTCATCCACACCCACCAGCAGCCCTACCTCCCCACGTTGCTCAGCGCTGTGAGGAGCCACATCTCAGGGCACTCAGAGGCCACAGACGGTGCTGGCCCACAGGCCGCTGACTGCCAGGGGTTCCTGGAAGCACTGGACCCCAGCGGCCCCTGGCGCACCACCCTGTCTCCTGACACCCCACTCCTCTACGGTGGGTATGAGGACTGCTCGGCCATGTGCAACCGGACTCAGCGGCCTGACCCAACAGGCAGTGGACCCCAAGGTAGGAGAACGAGTCACAGTCTCCCCTCTAGGGCCAGGGTGACAATTGCTCCAACCACAGTTAAGTCCTGCCATGGTGGGTCTGTGCTGGAGCTGGGGACACCAGAGTGACAAGACAGTCAGCCCCCACCTTAGAGAGCTCCAGGATTCAAATACAACCCTCACTTTGTAAACGGGCTAGGCAAGGAGCTGCTCCGCAGGGCACAGAGCACTCCGGGGAGGAGCAAGTGGAGACTGAAGCACCCCAGCAAAGAAGCCAGGCTGCCAGGGTCCAGGGAAGACGGGTCATGGAACATCCTAGCCACCAGGTGGGCAAAGGTGGCTGTTGGAAGGATGGGAGTGGCGGATGCTGTGAATGTCAGCTTGGCCAAGTCCCACTGGCCTCCAGGGGACTTTGGTTTTGCCCTCAGAGCCACTGAAGGTTTGAAACAGCAGAGGGTGGGTGCCTGGAACTTATGCTTAGCATGTTCTAGGTGTTGTGTGGAATGTGCCTTTGGAATTAGAGAGAGGACAGAACCTGTAGGGATCTGGGGGGACCTGAGAAACTGGACGATTGGGGCCTGGGAGCTGGGAGACTAAGAGTTGAGGGGCTGAAGGTCATGGTTCAGAAGAGAGACCATGGGCTGCATATCCAGGAGAAAGTGCTGCACTGAACCAGTGAGCCTGAACTCTCACTGTGCTAGGAAGGACGAGACCACAGAGCTAAGGGTGGTAAACTCTGGATGGAGGGGGGGCATCGAAAATGATTTTGTGTCTACCTAGAAACTGGACTGAGGGGAAAAGCAGGTGGCAAAGCGGGTGTCGGGGTTTCTGATGCCCTGTGTGTGGTCAGCTTTCTGCTTCTGTAACACAGAACCTGAGATGGCCAGGTTATGAGAGGAAAGGTTCATCTGGCACCGGCTTTGGAGGGCACAGCTGGGATGGCTGAACTCAAGGGCCTCTGAGGAACAGAGAGGGTGGACTGTGCTGGGAGAGACCGGGATGTCACCAGAGCTGGACCCCCAGCACAGGGTTACTGAGACCTCCACAGGGGTGTAGGAGGAGACAGGCCAGTGGCATTGAAAAGTGAGCAGGGAAATGTGTTTCTGGGACTAAATCAGAGAAGAGCCCTGGCCCACTCCCTGGTGGTGCAATTATCGGGAAATTCTCAATGGAGTAGCAAAGGTGCCTGAGCTTCTGGAGAGAAGGGCAGCCAGGGACAAGTTTACGTAGCCGGGGACTGGGGCATGCACCCACAGCCAGGGCAGAGGCTCCCTCCTCCTGAATAATCATGCAGGCTGCAACATACCTGGGGACTCACAGCAGAGACCCAGAACCCCCAGAGCTACCAAGTGGGACAAACAAGAGTGTGCAAGGAAACACCAGCCCCTGGGGAGGCTGCCAGTGTGCCCATGCCTGTGTGGCTCCCACGTGGATGGGCAGGGGGTGCCTTCCCCAGGAACCATGGTGGTGAGACCCATGTCGCCACATCGAGAGGCCACCATGTCACTGATTCCCAGCACAAAGGTGGTCATGGTGGGAAGTGAAGAATGAATGCTCCCACACCCAGGCACATGTGGACACACACATGTGATGAGCCCAGCCTTAACTCACACATCTTGGCACCCAGTAAGGAGGCGTGTGCTGCCATGGCTCCCCTAGGGATTGCCCCCTGGAAGTACCATCCCTTGCTCATTTGAGGTTCTGCATAAGAACGGCAGGGCAGATGAGAAGTACATCCAAGGCTCACAGCTATTGATGGCAAGAACGGAAGCAGGCCTGGTTTTGTGACTTCTGGAGCAATGGGATATGGTGGAGGTGACATTGTGTAGGGCACCACTCTGAACCATTCCCAGTGCAGGGGGAGGAAGCTGAGAACAACAGGAGAGGCTGTGCTCATCAGCCTTCTGTAACTGCAGCAAAATGCCTGAGGCAGTCACCTTGAAGAGAGAGGGGTTTGTTTCCATTCTGTTTTGGAGGCCGCAGACCATGGTCAGGTGACACTGTGGCTCTGGGGCTGTGTGAAGTGGCACATTGTGGGACGAAGGTGTGGTGGAGAAGCTGCTCCCTTCTTGGTGGCTGGGAAAGTGAGAGCAAGAGGAGGTCCAGGGTCCCACCCCCTCCAGAGCAAACCTCAGGTGACCAGAAGTTTCCAGAAAGGCCTCCATGTCTTCCCAGTGAGCCCGGGCCAGACAGGCAGAGGAGCTACCCATGTTGGCTCAGCCCACGCAGAACCATGGCAACCGGGAAGGTTGTTTAGGCTATTTTGTGGTGGCTTGTTACACAGTAGTAGTTAACTGATACAGCTGCTAACTGGCCCAAAGCAGTGGTTTCTTTCTGAAACTAGGACATGGCAGTTGTGGAAACTTACAGAGTAGATGTGATTTTTTTTTTGGTACATGTATACATGATGTCTTCTGAGTCATTAGCCTACATATCTCCTAGAATATTTACCACTTATTCCTTATGTAATAATCAAAATCCTCTCTTCTACTGGGCCAGAGATTTAGTTCAGTGGTTCCGCTGCCTACCTTGCAAGCACAAGGATCCAAATTCGATCCCCAGTAGCAAAAAAAAAAGTCCTCTCTTCTACCTATTTTGAAATATACAGTATATCATCATTGCCTAAAATCACTCTACTTTGCAATAAACACCAGAACTTATTACTTCTACTAACTGTAACTGCCTCATGGTACTCCACTGTGTATACATGCCATGTTTTCTTTAGCCATTAGTCTACTGATGGACACTTTGGTTAGCTGCATACCTGGGCTAGGATATAAGTCATGCAGGACTTAGAGTTTTATATTTTCATAATAATATAACTCACCAAATTCAATAATGGAATAAAGAAAAACATATGATTATTGGAATGGATTTATAAAGTGTTTTGTGATATTTATCACCCCCCAAAATTTAACAACCCATGAGTAGAAGAAAACTTACTTAATTGAAAAAGATAACATCTATTAAAAACCTACCATAAATATCATACTCCATGGTGACATTTTAGAAGTCTTCCATTTAAAACCAGTAATGCAGCCAGGCACAGTGGAACACTGGAAAGCTAAGGCAGGAGGATCAACATGGAGATTTAGCAAGACCCTGTCTCAAGGTAAAAATTTTAAAAGAGTTGAGGATGTAGCTCAGTGTGAAGGCCCTGAGTTTAGTCTCCAGTATCACCAAAAATCAACCAGTCAATCAAATCAGTAACAAGGCAGCTGGCCACTCTCCCATTTGTCATCACTATAGTAGCGATCTGAGCCAATGCATTATGATAAGAAAACAGAACACACAAGGCTAGAAAGGAAACGACAAAGGTATCGCTAGTCTAGATGATATGATTAGCTTTCTAGAAACTGCAAAAGACACAACCAAAAAGTATTACATATGGCTAAAAAAATTCAATGGGATTTCCAAGTTCATTTACATGTATCAACTCTGAGAACACTTTGAAATATATCATAGCACTGGGCATGGTGGCCCACACCTGTAATCCCAGCACTCAGGAGGCTGAGGCAGGAGGATCACTGTGAGTTCTAGACCAGCCTGGGCTACATAGTGAGTTCCAGGTCAGTCTCAACTACATAGTGAGACCCTGTCTCAAAAGACCAAAAATAAATAAATAAATAAATAATAAAATGTATCATAGCAGCAGAAAATAACTATTGGAAGTCACATGATTTTATGGAGAAAATTACAAAACTATTAAAACAAAATACCTGTATAAATGCAAAGATGAGCAATGTCCATTGATAAGAAAGATTTGATATTATAATAAAGACCAAAGGATCAATAATGATCAAGACATAAAAAAGGGAGGAAGAGGAAAGGGCAGGGAGGTGAAAAAAAGAGGAAGAGAAGCAGAGAAGGAAAGGGAAGATGACAGAAGGAGAACTTGCTCTACCAGAGAACAACAGAGCTATCCTAATCAGCACAGATGTGTGTCAACTTAAGGGACAGATAGGAAGATCAAGAAAACTGAGAATCCAGGAAGAGACCCACACATATCTAACACGGGACAGTGTGGGTGCTGCAAAACTCTAGGGAAAACAGAGGACCACTATTCCAAGGGATCATGCTCACTTCCTGCCTCATGCTGTGCAGAAAAGTAAATTCCCAGGGGATTATATGACCACTAAATTTTAGTTCCTAAAGAAAATACAAGGGAATATCATGAAGTCTTCCATGTACAGTTGGGCTTCTTAAGATACAAAAGTGAAAACAATGAAGAAATGACACATTAGATTTTATTAAAATTCTGAAGCTCTGTTTTGTCCATAACAATAGAAAATGAAGGGGCAATCCCCATAGAGAAAATAACTTCCAAATATATAATGGGAAAAAATTAGTATGCAAAGTAATTGAAGAGTTCCTTCATATTGATAAGAAAAACCCAATAAAAGAATTGGCAAAAATATTTCCCAAAAGAGAAAACACAGATGGCTAATAAAACATGTGAAAAATACTCACCATCATGGTAATGAGACAAATCCTACTTAAAACAATGAGAATCTATTTTCTTTCTACTCACCAGATTGGGAAAAACTAATGAACCTCATGAGTAATTGGGAAAATGAAAATTAAACAATGGGATAGCACTTTATATATCCTCTCTAGATTGTCAACACTGTTAAATCTAAAAATAGAAGATCTGGCTGCTAGCAAAAATGGAATAGCTTGACTAGATATATGTCCTGCAGCTAATGATCACACAGATGGATAAAATAGCAAAAGCAGCTATTTAAAGGCACTGGACAGTAGCCACATGCAGGCAGAACTGGAAACTGAGGTGGGGATGTGAGGTGAGGTCTGCATGCTTGGAGCTTTTGCCTAGAGAAGAGGAAGAAGAGAAGGAAGAGGAACAGGAGAAAAATAATGCAATGGAAATTCTAATGAAAAGTGTAATAGCTGAAATGAAAAAAAAATCAGCATAATGAAGAAAGAAAAGCCAGCAAAACTGAATGACCTGATACAAAAACTCAAGCTTTAGTGACCTGTGGGACAATATCTAGGAGTCTACTATGTGTAACTAAAGTCTTATAAAGAGAAAGACCATATTTTCATGTGAGTAACTAGCTCCTTACTGGAACCAGGGGCTCTCCTCCTGCTGTAACTCTTTAGATTTGCAAACTATTGCAAAAATCAGGGCTACAGGCATTTCTGTTTTCGAGTCAGCAACTGATAGGGAGGGCTCAGTATTTCTGGCTTTAACTACCAGGACCAGACAGGGTGACATGTGATCAGCCTTGACTAGACAAAGGAACTCTGTGGTTGGTTGTTTGGTTGGTTGACTGGTCGGTTGATTAGCTAGCTTGTTGGTTGGTTGTTGGTTCATTAGTTGGTTAGCTAATGGTTAGTTGGTTAGTTCATTGGTTGGTTAAATTAATCACACAGATGATTCATTGGTTGGATGGATAGTTCATTGTTTGGTTGGTTTGATGATTCACTGGATTGTTGGTTGGTTGGATAGTTGAATGAATGGATGGTTCATTAATTTGTTGGTTCACTGGTTGACTGATTCATTGGTCTGTCTCGGGGCAACATGCATTTTTCCCTTCCCTCTCTGACACCGTACTTACAATTAATCCTCAGGACCTACAGGTTGTAGACTTATAATCCTGCCCAACTGCAGGAAAGGAAAGACACAGTGAGGTTCAGTAGGTGCCCAGATCACCCATCAGTGGCACTGTTATACAGCACCCCCTTTCTTGGACAGAATGGGGAGATCTGTGTTTCAGAGAGGGAAACACTGGGTCCCTGGGAGGGAACAAAGGTGCCCAGGAGCAAATGGCCCCACAAAGGTCAGAGTCAGGCCTTAGCTCTAACCTTGGTGGGAGGGGGTGCTAAATCCCTGAAGAGGAAACTCAGTCCTAAAATCCATGCAGTGTGTGGAGAAAGGGTAGGTACATTTCCATCGGGGCTGAAAGGTAAGAAAACTGGGACACCGCTGGGGACACTGCAATGCTGCCCATCCCTGCCCAGGGCCTGGTTCTGATCCTGTCTGGTCACTGGTGGATTGGGGAGGGCTCTAGTCTGGAGCTGCTGGGGGCCCGGGGAGACACCCCGGGGGTATTTCAGAGGATTCGCCATGGGGGAGAGGGGATCCCGGGCAGATCAGTGCCTCTGTTTCTCTCCCCAGGTGAGAGCCGGGCCGCCCTGTTGGTCACCCGCGCAGCGACGACCTTGCTCACCGGCGGCCGAGCCCCGGACGCGCTGCGGGACCTGCAGGAGGCCTTCGAC